GCCCCAGGTCCCGATGCGCCACAGACCTCAATAATCAGACCAGCACTGTACGACCCCAACAAGTACAACATCTTAGAAATTATGTCTGCTACCAACGTTTTGATGAGGGTGAGTTTATTGATCTACTGCTATTTGTGAGTCTTCAAAACTAGAATAGTCATTTCGAGTTGTCCTTAGCATTATAGCAATGCATTATGGCACGTGTGTTCACCATTGGGTGATCTGTTTGCTCGTTTGTAATTCTATTTATCTTCGGTCAGGAACGAACCTATAAAATTAAAATTTAATATATCTTTATTTCAGATTCTCTTAATGGAGGATGACAACGCCACAGTCGCTGGTGGGCAGAGCATCTTAGATTTAGAGGGAGTGACGATGGCACACTTCATGCAGATGACACCAGTCACCATGAAGAAGATGGTTGTCTTAGGACAGGTACATTGACTTTTTTTTTTAAAGTAATAGTGTGCCTATCTAATAAATAGACTAAAAACATGTTGAACATCTTAATATGGTCCTGGTCATGACACGACTCACATCTTACTATTTATAATTATTATAAATTAAATTATAAAACACATCCACGCTTACAAAATTTACATTATTTTGCTAGGCTAACAATAATTTTGTAATCTCAATTTAGCTCGCAAAAAGGCCGTTGATAATCGTTCTTACTTTAATTATTTAAATCTGTTTGAAAATACTTTTCAGGATGCATCGCCCATGCGTATGAAAGGAACACACTACCTGAACACACCTCCAGGTTTTGAAACCGTGTTCAACGTAATGAAGGGGTTATTAAATGAGAAAAACAAAAACAGAGTAAGTATTTTGCTTTTTTTTTAAAGTCATTCAGGCTCGAGACAAACAAATATAGTACTTACAATGAATAAATTACGTTATGATATTCTCTGCATAAGTAATACGAATGACACGTTTCATTGTTGCTAATTGCTCAGGAACCGTGTTAGAATTATCAGAAGGCTATCTTTTAATTGTCTAGTGCTAGTAGTTACAAAGAATGTCTGAGATTCAGGGAAGATAGATAATAAACAATAGCTGAATATACTTTTACATTGTATTTTATAAATGAATCTATTAAGCCAAAAATACATACATAAATGTCTTTCGACACGAGTCGCCAGTGACGTTGGGTGAAGTAGTGCGACGTTGACAGACTTTGGTTGATATGTCTGGCTACATCAACGCCGCGTGGCAGTGGACATAAGTCGCGCGTTGTTGCCCTGAATGTCAGGCGAAGTCGGCCGGCTTCGTTTGTCGCCGATACTTGTTGTGGGACATTTGTACGCTTGGCTTTATTGCTATGTTCGAAATTTGTTGCAAAAATAACCCTAACAGCGTGTGTATAAAAATATTTAGAAGAGATTACCATATTACGTCAATGCTTAGACAAAAATAGACGGATGGAGGTTGATTTAGGATTATTACCTTTTTGCAGTTGTTCGTCCATAATAAGAACTATGACGCACTCTACAAATACATTCCTAAAGATGTGTTGCCAGCTGAATATGGTGGAAATGGCGGCACTATTGCATCAATTACAGGTAAATATTATAAAAAAATCACAAAACAGTTGTTGCCAATTAAACTTCTTTCTTGTTTCGTGTTATAAAAGCTGTTACCCATATACTAGGCACAATACCAGGCTCCGTACTACTAAAAATACATTAGCGCATATGGTACATGCAGTTTGTTCGTTTTTTTATTGATTCACACTTAACCGCTGAACCATGATAGGTCATTAATTGATATAATACACCGTCATTTATGAAGCAAAGCTACGGGCAATAAATCTACCTATAATAATATAATAAAGTACTTTGACCTTATACTAAAACAATCGCAATATTATAGAAGTCATTTTTATTATTGTGGGTGTAGGTTATATGGTACCTACTTTTTTATTTACATACCTAAAGAGGTTGGTCATATGACTTTAAAAATTAAATCACTCATTTTGGGTCTGTTCACTTATTATTCGTAATATTAAATTAACATCCTTGACGTCATTTCGAAGTCGAGTAATATTATTTGTATAAGTTTTGTTTCAATTTTGAACACGTGGACAATTTTATATATTACAGTGTATAATGAGCCAGGACTTTTACATGAATAATAAAAAGTGAGTTTATTAACTGTATTTTTATTTCAGATTATTGGAGGAATAAGGTGAAGGAATACAGTTCTTGGCTAGATGAAGATAACCAGTACTGCAGCGATGAGTCAAAGCGACCAGGCAAGCCGAAGACTGCTGAAGATATGTTCGGTCTCGAGGGATCATTCAGACAACTCCAAGTCGATTGAAAGCTATATTTTTCTACTTTTTCTACAATACTTATTAAATAAATTTTTATTTTTCAATAATATTGTTTTATTTTCTTTTTCGTTCCAGTACAAATTGAATCTTAATCAGGTTGGTTACATTAAGTCAATGTTAAAATTGGCCAAGTAGGTACTGTTTGTTCCCTGCAGGTAGTTTTGATTAATCAATACAGTCAACCAACTTACACCTAGTCATTCTGGAGTAGGTATATCATACATATACAATGAAGTCAAAGTCAAAGTATTTATTTCAATTAAACCATAGTTTGGTACTTTTGAAACGTCAACAAATACAAAATAAATAATAGTCTGTCAGTCAGTCCGTCAGTGAAATTAGGTGAACCAAGGTGCTCATTCCAAAATGTAGATTCGAATGGAGAAGAACGAGCAAGAAACTTAATTCGTTACTCTTTTTTAAAAAAGTATGTTCTACAATGTCTCTAAACACTAAAGTCCTTTATTACTTTCACAGTAATTAATTAGTACCATGTTTCTGTCACTTCGCTTTTGGTAGAGTGGTCGTGGTGACGTTGAGGTGTCCATATTAGAAGTAAAGGCAAATCCTTCCCCACAATCCATGTCTTACTGTGTGCTGATTTTCTGGTGCAACTTGACACGTGGTTTCCTGGTATCGAAAATTAGTATGTAGTACAATAATCATAGATTATATTTAGATTTTTGAAATTTCTTAGAATTAGCTCGAAATTTGGGAATTTCCCCTGCGTATGTTAACAGATTCGCTTTCAAAAAGCGCAATTCATTTATTGGTACTCAAAACGTAAGTGGAGTAAAGTGGGTTTTATACATGCTTTTGTTATTGCACCTCTATTTACCCTTTGGGAAATAATCAGCGTGATAATATTGTTTCCTAGATTAAAGAACGGATTAACGGATTAATATTGTGTATCTATGATAAATAACCAAATTGGGAGAACAATGTCATGAGATAGTATTATACCCTTATTAAATAAGATATAATTTCAAAGTCATTTAATTATAGATAACAATAAAAAAACGTGAGGACGTGCATCGAGTTAGGCACAAAAGTGTTAAGATATTTTTTTTATGGGACAAGCCAGTATTCGAACATAATTATGAATTACCTGATGGTAAGCAATCGGCGTCGCCCATGGACACCTGGAACACCGGAGGGTATAAGGGCGTTACCGGTTTTTTGGCGATTAGGAATAAGGATTGTTGGGGATTCAGGGATGGGGAGATTAGGGAATGGGGAGGGGGTAATTGGACTTCCGGTAACCTCAGTCACACGACGAAACACAACGCAAGCGTTGTTTCACGCAGGTTTTCTGCTTGGCCGTGATATCACTCCGGTCGCCGACGCCGATGGGCCGACCCATTCATGCGAAATCATAGGTCTCCCACACTTAGAAATATTTTAATATTGCTGTAACGATTTATAGACTTTGAAATCAATTTGGTTTTCGTCTCGCGACAAAATAAAATGCCATAAGGAGTTGGTACTATCGATGCAAAAAGTAAAAAAAAAATAATAAAGACATTTTTTCTTTAATATTCATCGACTTACGGACATGAGACACTAGATGTAAATTTGTGGGCACTATAATAATAGGTATACTTGCATAGCACGTGCCACCCGACGAGAAATAACTCTTCGAGAATTAAATGGCGTGATTTAACTCGTTCGATTTAACGAGTCAATAACGAGTTCGTATGCGCTATCAAAGTTCCGGCTGCACGGTTGGCGCGGTGGCTGGGCAACTGGCTGCGGAGCAACGTGTCGCGGGTTCGATTCCTGCACGGAACAACCCTGTGTGTGATCCATAGATTGTTATTTCTGGTCTGGGTGTCATGTGTATGTGAACTTGTATGTTTGTCAACGCACCCACGACACAGGAGAACATTCTAGTGTAGGGCAACGTTTAAAAAAAAGTTTGTTTTTTGCAATGGTTCACCAGTTATTTTTTATTTTAAAACTTTTATTTCTTTGTAAAACTAAACCACCATTTTACTTCAGGACGAAAACGATGTAAATTTCGAGGTGTACATTATGTATATAATTTTTTTTTTCAGGATTAGTTGGAAATGACCTCCCAAAACAAATATCTAAAAAAATATTACTTTTTAATAAAAGTAATAAAAAGAAGTTAGTACGTAGGTACTTAGTTTCTAATTAATGATTTGTTTACAAAAAAATACTCGTTTAAATTACCCTTCATTTCAGTAAGTAAATGACCTGATTACTATATCAGGATGAAATATTATTGTGACATTAAACTTTTAATAGCGGTCCAGAAACAGCTTCATATCAATTAATATTTCACTTTTTTATACCTAGAATTCAAAATCTATGTTTTTATGTTTGTTATATTATGAAAATAGGAATTTTGACAATGAAAAACCCAACGTTTGACCTACGCATTGAACCCTTGACGTGATTGTTTGCGGATTTTTTTTATTTTTATTTTTTTTATGTAGGTATAGACGATAGTGTAATCGTAATCAGTTTAGTTTTAAATAAGTATGCTTATAATAAAGAACTGTATTGACAGTGATGACCTACACCTAAAGTTAGGTATCTGTGGCCCGCCATGTAAGCGGCAGTAAGCGCAGCGCCGAGGGTCATTATCAACATTTTGTTGTGAATATTTATTTACCTACTACGTCCGCGGTCTGAATCGGAACCAGTCGCTTGTAAGCCGGGAACAAATGACAACCTTGATTTAAATATAAAGAACTAAATGAATTACAATTGTGTATAGTTTTTTGAATATAATTTATCAAAATGCAAGTGCGGCCTCTATCGCTTGCTTTGCAAGAAAAAGCTGCATTAGAATTGTACGAGACGCCGAATAAACTGGAAAATGGATTGAAAGAATTAAAGGAATGGATCAGTCAACAGCCCCATTTGAAAGCTCGAACAGGTAAATTATTTGTAGTTTTTTTACTGTTAAGTACGTTTTAATATACAAGATGTAGTATTGAAACCGTGACACTTCTTGGGGGCATCTCACATAAGTCATAAATGTGCAATGTAAGAAGAGGTTTCGGGCCAATAGTTAAAAAACGGCTATAATAAATCGTTTAAGTTCGATAGTATATTTCAGAATAAGCGACAGCAATGTTAATAAAATAAATAATATAAAAAGAATGTATATTTCATCCAGTTTGAAGTTTGAACAAAATCAGGTTTATACCGGATTTCACGTTTGTAGTTTAAATTGGTGTAACTTTATATTGTAGTGTCATTGCACTATTTGAAAAAAGACAGATACGTGTAGGTATCCGTTTATGTTTGCGCAGAGACTCTACGATAGAGTTTTCAATATTAAAATTCAGGTAAAATACAAAGAAAATGATGAAATTTATTATAATAGGACATGGACTGCCTTATTGGCAGAGTAGTCGCAAGTGAGACTGCCGAGCAAGGATTCTTGGGTTCGATTCCCGGGTCGGGCAAAGTATTACTGGGTTTGTAAAAACCTCAGTAGTAGCACGCAAATGGAAATGTGCCCGGTATATGGCAATAGGGTCACCCCCTATTACATGGAACTCATAACATAAATAGTGAAAAGCGGGTGTCACATTGTATAGTGGCATTAAATGCCGTAATGTGCACATCTGCCTACCCCTTTGGGGACAAAAGGTGTGACGTTATGTTGTTATTATAATAGAACAAAACCGGTTCGTAAATACTTAATTGTTGAATAAAGTGTATATCAGTCTATTTATTACTGTATCAAAATTAAATACGCCAAAATATGCACTCAGTTGCAAACCATTATTATTCATGTGTTATCGAAATTCCCTTCAAGCTACAGATTTTTTAAAAGTAATTTGATGATTATCATCTGATTTATTTATTTTATTTAGGTACGTAGATATAATATCATTATTTTATTTTATCTCACGCGAGCGATTCTTCTTAGTGAGAATACCTAAGGATTAGTTGAATGAACCTCGCCTCAGTGACCATGAGACAACATTGTAAGATTTATTAATTGATATATATTATAATGAAGTAATTTTATGCAGCGTAATTATATTGATAACTTCTTCTCTACCTGCGCGCGCCTCAAAGAGCTATCAGACCACCACGGATGGGGCCCAACAGGGCTGATGCCGATTCGGAGTCGCGGAGAACCTAACGGGTTACCGGGCTTCCGGCTTGACGTGCAGGAGAAGGAACAGGGTGGTTTTTGTCAGTAAGAGTCTGACACTCCCTCGCGCCTAACCCAGGCGGGATCAGTCATTCGATGATTTTCCCCCCTAAAATAAAAAGAAAAAAAAGTTCTTCTATACCTACTATTTTTGTTTATAATTATGATTGCGCCAATAGGAGTTAAGAATAAGGTTGGTGCATGGCGAGGTTGATGTTTGTGGAAAATATTCGTCTTCATGCCAGTAGCACAATGGGTACAATGTAGACAAAATTTCAAATAATAGGTATATATCTATTCAATAATTCTGGTATAAACAACGTTTAAAAACTGACTACAACGCCCTCTTTTGTGAACTCTGTTAATGTTAATTAATATACTTAAATGTAATCCTAAGTGTAACAAGCACTTTTATGAAAACCGCATCAAAATCGGCTTAGCTAATCGCGAGATAATCACGAATAAACATACATACATACATACAGGTAAAACCAGGTAAAAATGTAAACTTCATTTTTTTTAAATCAGTTAATAAACGAAATATAACAATGTATTTCTTATCACTTAACACAACTTTTGGAATAACAAGATATAGAAAGGGCATATCTGCATAAAGACTGATGCTCACGCCCTCTTACTTATAATGTACCTACAGACACAAAAACAAATTGACTTTGACATTGCTACATTAAAAATGATATTGCGTTTTAGATGACCAATGGCTTGCTGCTTTCCTGAGAGGTACTAAGCATAATTTGGATCGAGCCAAGGAGAAGATAGATCTATACTATTCGTTAAGAACAGTATCGCCTGATCTATTCAGGTTTAGACAGACTAACCCACGGTTTAAATATTTACTGGGAACTGGGTAAGTGAAAGATATCGTATATGAGTTTATATGTAGGTATGATTGTACCAGATTACAGGACAGACTAATTTGACTTATACAGGATGTAAACGGAAACTGGTTTCGATCCCGAAACGCTGACAAAAATAAATAGTTTTTATAATTTTAATCGTTTTCGTGTTATTCATCCATCTTTGAGTAGTTGATTACCAACTATTATTACATAAAAAAATCATTGAATTCTTAACTTTTATGAAAATAAATCATGTTGGAACCGACAGGTGATGGTTTTTACCATGTTCCGTTCCGGTTCCGCACCCTGTATGTAACCATGTAGCTTGAATTAACATTTAGATAGGACGGAGCCCCACGCAGCGGGGCTCCTATTTCTGTCAGCATTTATTGAAGAAATCAATGATATCGTATCAATCAATCATAAAATCCTGCATCGAAGTGTAGTAGTTTCATTCTTAGGTAGGTACTATCTGCAAGGTTTACGGTAGTACACTTTTTAAATAAAACTCTGTGCCAAATCCTCTATCAATCCGTTTTCCCGGTGGTGACTCGCGCCGAGTGCATACAAATGACGGTCGACTGTAAACTTTGGCGATTGTACATAGAACTACTTATAAGTAATAGCCTTGTCAGGTGCATCTAAGTGTATATATATATGCGGAGAACCTAACGGGTAATCGGGGCTCCGGCTCGACGTGCAGGAGAAGGAACGGGGTGGTTTTTAGTCAGTAAGAGTCTGACACTCCCTCCCGCCTCACC